CCCCAAAACCCCAAAACCCCAAAACCCCATTAGCTAAAAATTATGATAATCATCATTTAAAACTTATTAATGAATGAAGCTTGAAAATTAAGTTGTTGAGGTTAGTTGTGAAGGTTTAGAAAAGAAATCTCAATTCTAATTTATTAAATCTTAGGTCTCTTTGAAGTAGTTTAGGAATTCTTCGCCAGTTTTGCCACCAATAATAATCGAATTTTCCTTTACTAGTTATACGAAATTATTAACAGAGGCCATTCTTTCCTCATGCTGTCTTTTGTTTTGTAAGTTCTGTGTCTAGGATCCTTCAGCATCACCCTCTAGCATAAGTCCATTAGACCTTAACTTTGCATATTATAGTCTAGTTTAGGCTGATTAGATCATATTTATTTTTCTAGAATTAACTTCAATTATTTTAGCTTCAGCATATGCCTTTGCCTCAGCCACTAGTTACTCTGACAACTTTTTACCTCTTTATTCAGCATGTTCTTTCTGAGCCTGAGCTTAGATAATTTTTAAATCTTAATTCTGTTTGGCCTTAATGATTTACTATTGCTACTCAGTCTCACAGACTACTTTGAACTTCTGCAAATATATTTCCTACATAAGAAAATCATGATTAAGTTATAGCATTTTCTTCTGATTTTCTCTCTTCAATGTCAGTAAAGTTTTATTTTCCTCGTTCATTAATTTTATCCTCAAATTCTCTATACAATAATGAAATAATGCCATATGAAATGATGTTACCTTAGATTTTGACTTAGTTTTACAAGAATACATCATAGGTAGTAGCTTGTTAAAGTGCTATTCTAAGATCTTTAGGGATAATCACATTAAAGATTGAGCAAGAAGTAACATATACACCATACTTATTGAACCTCATGTTAAGTTCTTCAACCATTTAATGAGCCACCTCTGACTTCAATTCTCTGACTGATTCTACTTTTACGCTTCTCACAAAGTTCCTAATGTTCTCTTCTGTCTCTGATATAAGAAGTACTTCTAACTAGGTGGCGCCAAGATAATATAAGAATTATTCGCAATCTTTTTCCCTTGTTTCATCCATACCAATGTGAAATTCGATACTGACATCGACAGTTACTCTAACGTTATCTCTAGTGGGACAGTTTATAATCTATTAATAGTAGATTAAGAAATAAAGTAGCAAAATTATGCTTACTGGTGCATTGAATTATATAGCGTTTCTGGTAATCATAGCTGCTATTCTCTTATAAGAACAGTAGCAGCAGAAATAGCCTGGTATCATAGTACCAGCATGTCTACCCCATTTTTATTCTAATGATTCAATACCATGCGGTACATTAAGTTTAAAGTAGCAGCAAGAGGGAGGATCAACATAAACGATGATAGGGATGCCTTTGGGATTGAAGTCTGATATCAATCTAGGACCTTCATCTGGATCATTAGTATGTAGCTCAATGAGGTGTGTTCTATCTCTAAGAATTCCTTGAACTTCATCTTTTTCATTATTTTCGGCATTTGTTGGCTTGTTATTAGCTGTGCTTGCAACTGAGATTTATGCTTGCTTTTACTATGTTTGACCTGCAGAATTGAGATAGCTAAACTACTGTGAATTAGCTTAGTTCTATGCCACTGGTGGCACTCCAGCTATAAAGACTTATGAAGAATAAAGTGTTACTTCTATTTTAGTACATATATTGGAAATTTTGATTGCTCATTTTCTCGTTTAAATAAAATAAGATAAAAATAGTAATAAATTTATAACCCATCTCGCATATAATTTTTACTCTATATCGGGGTTTTGGGGTTTTGGGGTTTTGGGGTTTTGGGG